AAGAAAAAGAAGTCCAACTGGAAGAAAGAATAAAAGAATTAGAAATTTTACATGCTAATAATCAATCAGAAAGCATCTATATAGAAATTAGAGAGAAGAAAATTTTGCTTAATGAAATAATAAACAAAAGAAACCAGTTTCTGATTCAGGTCAGAACCTTCTTAATCAACCCACGAAAATTAATGCATTTAGTTGTTTGAACTTGTTCATGTCATCATTGTTATTACTATCTTTACTGTTATTGTTATCGTTGCTATTTTCACTTTTATTTTTCATTGTTGTAATTGCTGATGTTGCTGTCTTTTGCTTTCACCATTGCGGTCACCACTGCCATCATCATTGTCATTTATTATTAATATCATTATTACCATTATTATTATAATCATCAATATTGCCGTTGTCAATGATGTATTGGAAGTTGATGTCATTATCATCACTACTGCAGTAATTCCCCCTTATCTCTTCACGGGTTTATAATGCACCACAACATAGAATAGGGAGAAAAAAAAAAAAAAAAAAATGTATATATGGAAAACCACACAAACACCAAGGCAGGCAAGACAGGCGAGAAGTGGTTTCAATGGGACAGCATCTCTGTCCCAATTTGAGACACTATCGCACTGTACTCTCTCTTTTAATGCACCTTAGACATTACACATAACACACAAAAAAAAAAAAAAAAAAAAAACAATGAAAAGATAGGGACTGAAGAGATGTGGGGGAAAGGTATCTTACATTATCTTATTTTATCATTTTATTTTATGCAGGATTGACAATGGCAATTGGTACATAGGAGGAAGGATGGAAATAAAAATCAACAAACACAATACTGGCAATATGGTGGTAATGGGGCGGAGATGGTAATGAAAATGGTAATAAATAATAAATGGTAACTTTGTTTACGCATACACACACATACACATACACATATATATACTCACACCTGTTCACATGTACACTTAGATCAAACACTTAAATCACTTTTATGTCACTTCTGGAATTATGGATTTACAAGATTGCTCACTACTGCACTATGTTGGTTTGTATATGTCTGACTGTTAAATAAAATAGAATAAAAAATAAAAAAAATAAAAAAAAAAAAGTTATGAGTCCGTTAAGTTACACTGGACTAATTTAGGAACGACCAAGTTCCATTTTAAACCTTTTTCGTCGAGCCAACTTCACCGAGGTCAGACCAAGCCACGTGGTCTCGCCAGCTACAACGAAGGAAACCAGCAAACAGCCGAATTTCCAGACGGAGGAGGCGTTTTCAATCAGACACGGAGAACCCCGAAGAATCCCTTGCAAAAAGCCAGGATCGGGCAGCTAGCGTGGGACCCTTGCAACAGGCCAAAAGCAGGCTGTCGACAAGCAGTAAGACTTAACACACGTCCTGTGATCAGATGTCCATTTTAACTCCTAAACTATAGCATTAGTTTACTTTCATTAGCTCTTCTATGCCGTATGAGTCAAATGCTTCCCACAATCGAACCTCCAGGCTCATTGGTCAGCAAATGTTTATGTTCCCTGTATCCAACCATCTTTTTATCACCTTAGTTAGAGAATAAATTCACTGTAATATAACCAAGAGCTGTGTGTTGCCTATTTATAGTTCCTGCCAAGAGAATTGACCCTTTAGATATGAGACTGACTGACTGATTTAAGATAATTGAGCGATTATTAACTAACTGATCACTAGTAATAATTGTATAATTATTCAAAACTACCTAGAGGTCCGGAGACTCTAGGATTATAACAACTCCGGTGGTGCCCTTTACGAGAAAATTCTGATTTTATGAATAATAATTCATAATTGGGTATCAATTCTCATAAATTTATTAAAATGCATAACTAATAAATTTAGGTCCACTACATCTCGTAGACCGTGCTATTTACAGAAGCCCAGCAGTTCCCACCAAGAGCAAGCTCTAGGCGACAGAGGCAAGGAAAAACTTCCTTTAAAGAGGCAGAAACCTCGAGCAGAACCATGGCTCAGGGTGGGTGGCCATCTGCCTCGACCGGTTGGGGGTGGAAAGAAAGATGTCAACACTGGTTAGATTTTGCAGGGGTCCAGAGAAGAGTCATTGAGAAATTGTTTTTGCATATGTACATGTAACAGAAGCCAGCGATGTTGTGCAGTGAGTAAACCTCACTCCCTGACATCTTAAGAGACGCGATGACCCACGCCAGGGCCTACGAGTTTTAGCTTCCTCGTCATCATATCCACAAGGAGTACAGGTCCAGAAGAGAAGGAAGATTGCAGCCAATCACCTTCTCTGCAGAGCGAAATGATGCGCTGCAGCCTGCCCTTGTCCCTGGCAGTGGCAGCAGCGTACCAGATGGTGATGGACTCAATGATGGCGGTGTAGAAGTGCACCATCATTGTCTTTGGCAGGCTGAACATCTTCAGCTGCCACAGGAAGTACATCCTCTGCTGGGCCTTCTTGATGATGGAGGTGATGTTCAGCTCCCACTTGAGGTCCTGGGAGATGATGATGCCCAGGAAGCGGAAGGAGTCCACAGTGGTGACTGAGGAGTCACACAGGATGATGGGGGAGGGTGGGGCTGTGCTCTTTCTGAAGTCCACGACCATCTCCACTTTCTTCAGAGCGTTGAGCTCCAGACTGTTCTGGCTGCACCAGGTCAACAGATGGTCAATCTCCCACCTGTAGGCGGACTCGTCCCCACCTGAGATGAGCCCAATGAGGGTGGTGTCGTCCGCAAACTTCAGGAGCTTGACAGACTGGTGATTGGAGGTGCAGCTGTTGGTGTACAAGGAGAAGAGAAGGGGGAAGAACGCAGCCTTGAGGGGAACCGGTGCTGATGGTCCTGGAGTCAGAGACATGTTTTCCCAGCTTCACGTGCTGCTTCCTGTCCGTCAGGAAGTCTGTGATCCACCTGCAGGTGGAGTCAGGCACGTTCAGCTGGGAGAGCTTGTCCTGCAGCAGGGCCAGGATGATGTTGTTAAAAGCAGAGCTGAAATCCACAAACAGGATCCTGGCGTAGGTTCCTGGGGAGTCCAGGTGCTGGAGGATGTAGTGAAGGTCCATGTTTACTGCATCATCTACAGACCTGTTGGCTCTGTAGGCGAACTGCAGGGGGTCCAGGAGTGGGTCTGTGATGGATTTAAGGTGGGACAACACAAGGCGTTCAAAGGACTTCATAACCACAGAGGTCAGGGCGACCAAGCAAGACTATCTACATCCTATCTCCAGTTCCATCCTTCTTACATTCAGTGCACCCCCTTTACACACTTGGACATTTGAACACAGAAAGCAAAAACAGATCATGGAACGAGTTGACAAGAAGATGTTTCCTTTCAAATCTAAACACAACAGTAAGTGCTACCGTAACATTTGTACAATCAGAAAGGGCTGAGTGTAGAAGTTGGGAAACAGAAGTGTGGACCCAAATTGCAGACACTGGCGAGGAGGATGCAGTTTAAGATGATTTATTAAATGAACAAAAATAGGCTTACGTCTCAGCACGAGAAAGAGTCCAAACCAAGGTTGAATTCAACAAAGGTAAGGTAATCCAAACAGGTAGAATAGTAAGAATTCAGAAATCCAGAGAAAGAGCACAAGGCAGAACACTCTGCATACGATGACACCAGAAGGACTGAACACAACTGAGGGCAATGCATATAGGGGCACACCACACACAAGCAGGCAGGGCAATTAATCACAGGTGAGACACATTAGGAATCAAGGCAGACAGGAAACAAAGCTAGAAAAAAACCCCCCACCAAAATTAACAAATAAAACCTGAGGTAAAACTACCGACAATAGACAAGGATATAAGTAATTAAATACAACAGAGACCAAGGAAGCAATGACCAACTAACAAAACCTAAACAAGATCACAGAGGCAACGAGGAAAACCGAAACGGACATTAACCAAAATAACAGAATAACACCACAATAAAACCCAAGGTCGTGACAAGCAGGATTGTGACTACATATGTTGTTTAGCCTGACAGAACACTGGAACTGGGACACAGACAGGGCTTAAAATCCATCTGAACATCTCACTTTCTGACAGAACACAAATTATAGGTCTCAGTTCTACTGATAAATCTGCTCACCGGAGACATGTCAGCTTCTATTATGATGTGTTTTTTTTCTTGAAGTGTACAGTTACTCTGGGTATCAAAATATCATCATCTAATAATTCTGATTTGGATATGTGGTATGATCATACCATGCAGGTTGTTCTTGCAGTGAAGATCTGCAGGTATCTCAGGGCAGCTGCCATAAGGCACACAGCTGTGGTCAGAGCGTTTAGAGCACACAGTGCAAACAACACTTTCTGGAGAGAGAAAGACAAAAACAGATCAGTTCAAATAGATCAGGCAGAACTACTTTATCTGTTATCCATATATAAAACAGGCCTGAGTCTAGTAGTGCACTACAAAAAGATAATAACTGATAGTTGAAATGTGCTTTGCTCCTCTCTTTGCTATTTTGGTAGCCTGTGCAGCATGTATGGTGCAGAGGTGGACAAGAAAGTTTTTTGAAACAAGGCAGGAGAGCCTTTACTTTTTGCTGATTTGACACTACACGAGTGTTTCCCACAAAATGTAACTATGGCGGAAGTGACCGAGGTGTGGGGTGGCAGTGGTGTGGTTGTTAGCGGGGTATCTTTCGATTACTACTAGGTCATTTCTTATTTCACCATTTTAATTTTACTTCATTCACCACCTTGTTTTAGTGTTTCCTCACTACTTGAATCTGCTCCTTTTCCCTTCATTTCCCTTTTTCCCCACACTCACACAGACACACCTACACCTCTGGTCTCTTACTGCAAACACACCGCCTCTTCCTGCTTCTCTATGTGTCTGCTCTGCTAACTTTCTCCATCAGCAGTACATTTTATAAAGTCACCCAAAAGACACAGAACTCGTCTTCTGAAGTTTTCCGCTTCCACAGCAGCAGGTAGAGGGGGCTTGTTAATGATGTAGCCTATCGAAACAATCAAAACCAATGTTGTACTGAATGATATCTGCACTTGTGTGGTCACAGTTGCTTTACCTGGTCTATGCTTGTAAAATATTCACGTGTTGACGTTTTGTGATGAAATAGATAACATCTCTCTCTGTGTTTCTATTAATGTATACCTGGGAGGCTGTTAAACTAGTGTAACCATTAATATACCTGGGCGGCTGTTAATACACCTAGGCGACCGTTAAAATACCTGGGTGGCCGTCAAAACTGTGCGACCGTTAATATACCAGGGCAGCTTTTAATATACCTGTGCGGCTGTTAATATACCTGGGTTTTTGCTTAAGACTACTAACTAGGTTCTTAATGTCCTGCAGATTGTCTGTGTTGATGCTTCCCAAGCTGTTTGTGAAAAAAATCTCACTTTATGCTTATGACTCTTCAGTCCCTGTCCTCTGCTGTACTGTCTTTGACAAATTTGAACCTGTGACTATCTGTTTTACAGAATATTGTTGGTCATTTGAAGCCCTCAGGTTCTCCAAATGACACTGTCCCTCCCTGACTTTTTAAGGAGGTTTTCCCCACTATAGGACCATCTGTTCATGCAGTTTTAAATAGTAGCCTGTACTCTGGGGTGGTCCCTGAATATTTTAAACATGCAGTAGTGCAACCTTCTTGAAACTAGTAAATGAACTAATATCAGATTATGATATTGATTTATTTGGTCTTACTGAAACCTGGCTGGGTGATGGAGAATATGTTAGCCTAAATGAATCCACCCCTCAGTCATATTAATACTCACATTCCTCGAGGCACAGGCCGAGGAGGTGGAGTTGCAGCTATCTTCGACTCTAGCCTACTAATCAGCTCTAAACCTAAACTAAACTATAACTCATTTGAAAGTCTTGTTCTTAGTCTTTCGCACCCAAGTTGGAAATCACTGCAACCAATTCTTTTTGTTATAGTGTAGCGAGCACCTGGTCCGTACTCTGAATTCTTATCTGAATTTGCAGAGTTTTTGTCAACTTTAGTCCTTAAAACGGACAAAGTTATTATTGTAGGGGATTTTAATATTCATGTGACCACTGTTTGATAACTTTTGAGTTTGTATTGCTGAACTACTCGCCATTGGGCAAAAATTTCTATACAAGATTTTATTTTATTAGCTCTAAATTCATTATCTAGTCACAAAGTAACGGAGGACTCCTATGCTAATTTCAGTCCCTCCCAAATCGATCATCTTGTTGATAGTGCTGCAGGCTCGCTGCGAATGACACTGGACTCTGTAGCCCCTCTAAAAAAGAAAATACTAAAACAAAGACGGTTTGCTCCATGGTATAATACTGAAACTCGCAAATTAAAGCAAATATCGCGGAAACTTGAGGAATTGGCGTTCCACCAAAGTGGAAAATTCTCGTTTAATTTGGCAAGATAGTCTTAAAACTTATAGGAAGGCCCTCCGTAATGCCAGAGCAGCGTACTACTCGTCATTAATAGAGGAAAATAGGAACAACCCCAGGTTTCTTTTCAGCACTGTAGCCAGGCTGACAGAGAGTCACAGCTCTATTGAGCCAAGTATTCCCATAGCTCTCAGTAGTTACGACTTCATGAGCTTCTTTAATAATAAAATTCTAGCTATTAGAGACAAAATTCACCAAGACCTGCCCTCAACTGGCACCAACTTATCTCTTAACTCAGGAACCTTCGAAACAGCTGTAGAACCAGGTACATGTTTAGACTGTTTTGCTTCCCTCAATCTTTACCAACTAACTTCAACTAACTAAATCATCAACCTGCCTCTTAGACCCCATCCCGACTAGGTTGCTTAAAGATGTTTTACCCTTAGTCAGCACTTCTATACTAGATATGATCAATCTATCTTTATCAACAGGCTATGTAGCACAGTACTTTAAAGTAGCTGTAATTAAACCTCTTCTGAAAAAGCCCAAACTTGATCCGGATGTTTTAGCCAACTATAGACCTATATCTAACCTTCCATTTCTCTCTAAGGTTCTGGAGAAAGCAGTTGCTAAACAGCTGTGTGACTTTCTACAGAGCAATAGTTTATTTGAGGATTTTCAGTCAGGATTTAGAACTCATCATAGCACAGAGACAGCACTGGTGAAAATTACTAATGACCTCCTTATTGCATCAGACAAAGGACTTGTCTCTGTACTGGTTTTATTAGATCTTAGTGCTGCATTTGATACCATTAACCCTAACCCTAACCCAGCTCATAGTACCTTACTACCCCTCCAGAGCACTGCGCTCCCAGAATGCAGGGTTACTTGTGGTTCCTAGAGTCTCCAAAAGTAGACTAGGAGCCAGAGCGTTCAGCTATCAAGCTCCTCTCCTGTGGAACCAGGTTCCAGTTTGGGTTCAGGAGGCAGACACCATCTCCACATTTAAGAGTAGGCTTAAGACTTTCCTCTTTGATAAAGCTTATAGTTAGGGCTGGCTCAGGTAGTCCTGAACCATCCCTTAGTTATGCTGCTATAGGCCTAGACTGCCGGGGGATTTCCCATGATGCACTGAGCTCCTCTCTCCTCTACTTTCTCTCCCTCTGTATGCAACCTTATCCCATTATTGCATGTTACTAACACAACTTCTCCCCTTTCTGGTAGTCTTGTGCTTTCTCGTCCCTCTCCTCCTATCACTTCCTGCAGGTTTTCTGGCTCTGGAGCTGTGGAGTCTGGATCTGTGGTTGCGGGTCACCTGCTGCCCCCGTGTTCCTGCTCGACACCCTCTGCTGCAACGACTATTGTTGCTAGTCTTATTATTATAATCATTACGATTGTTAGCATTAACATGATTATAAATATCTGTACCATTTTTCATTTCACTGTCTGTACCTCTGTGTGTATATTGTGTAGGCTGCCTCCCTCCCCTCTCTCTCTCTATTCCTCTCCTGCATGTCATGTTTTTTTAATTCTCCAGTGCTTTTAACACCATCTGTCCGGCCCTGCTGGGTGAGAAGCTGACAGTGATGCAGGTGGATGCCCCCCTCGTGTCCTGGATTGTGGACTACCTGACTGGCAGACCACAGTATGTAACACTGTGTCAGACAGCGTGATCAGTTACACCGGGGCCCTGCAGGGGACTGTCCTCTCTCACTTCCTCTTCATCATCTACACCATGGACTTCAACTACCCCACAGAGTCCTGCCATCTTCAGTAGTTTTCTGATGACTCTGCTGTGGTTGGATGTATCAGCAGGGTGACGAGGCTGAGTACAGAGCTGTGGGGGGGGGGGGACCACCTAAAGCTCAACGTGACAAAGACTAAGGAGATGGTTGTGGATCTAAGTAGAGCAAAGCCACCAGTGACCCCTGTTTCCATCCACGGGATCAGTGTGGACACTGTGGAGGACTACAAGTACCTAGGAGTGCACATGGACAATAAACTGGACTGGGCAAAGAACATTCGAGCCCTCTACAGGAAGCGCCAAAGCCGTCTCTATTTTCTGAGGAAGCTGAGGTCCTTCAACATCTGCAGGACGATGCTGAGGATGTTTTATGAGTCTGTGGTGGCCAGTGCCATCCTGTTTTCTGCATGCTGGGGCAGCAGGCTGGGGGTAGCAGACACCAACAGACTCTACAAACTGATCCGCAAGGCCAGTGACATTGTGAGGGTGGAGCTGGACTCTCTGGTGGTGGTGTCAGAGAGTAGGATGCTGTCTAAACTACATGTCATCTTGGACAATGTCTCCCACCCACTCCATAATGTGCTAATCAAACACAGGAACACTTTCAGTGCAAGACCCCAACATGCACCACAGGAAGTCATTTCTGCCTGTGGCCATCAAACTGTTTTGTGCAATATTATCTAATTAATATGCTCTCAATTAAACACAACATAAATTACTGCAGCAAAAATGTTCTTGCGCTTTTATTTTGAAGGTACAATCACTTAAGAGGAAGTGATTATGTGAAAAACTTTTGTTTCAGCACCAGCTGCTAAAATTTCTCTTTATTTTTTTGCTGCTATCAGAGTAATCTGGTCACGGGCCAGATATTATTGCTCGTGGGCCGCCTATAGCCGACCACTGCACTAGTACTTTTTGGTTCACCATAACAATTCTTTAATAATGTAAATGTTAACCATAACAACTATTTTATACTTTTCTTATTTTATATTGTTATATTTCGTTATCTACCTACTTTCTATTGTTGTTTCTGACACAATGGACCATGAAATCCCGATGGAGTGGTGGGTGGGCATCAAGGGCATAGCACTGGGTCTTTCTGTGGTAGGGCTTTCTGTGTCAGCTGTGGTGACTGTCCTCTTCTGCTCCTCTCTTGTGGGGTCCCACAGGGCTCAAATTTAGGCCCTCTTCTCTTCTCTCTATATTTGCTCCCGCCTTCCTAAGCATGGTATGTCATTTCACTGTTATGTGCATAATAGCCAGAGCTATGTGCCTCTTAAATTATTGAAACTGTCAGACCATTACTCGAGTGTCTTGACAATATAAAGGCCTGGATGGCTCTTTACTTTTTAGGTTTTAACAAAAGTAAGACAGAAGTGATGGTTTTTGGTGGCTCCTCTGGGACCCCGCTTGTTGTTCATCTTCTGTGATTCAATTTATTTATATAGCGCCAAATCACAACAACAGTTATCTCACAGCGCTTTTCATAAAAGAGCAGGTCTAGACCGTACTCTATGATGCTATTTACAGAAGCCCAACAGTTCCCACCAAGAGCAGCACTAGGAGACAGAGGCAAGGAAAAACTTCCTTTTAAGAGGCAGAAACCTCGAGTTCTGCGCTTCACAGAGACTGGCTGTGTGGATCAATACCGGACTCCGTGCTGCAGCTGGCTGGCTTCCAAGAGCGGATCGTGACACAGAGCTCTCCGGCAAAACAAAAGGTGGAGTTGTCTGTTTTTATATTATTCACTTTGAAAGACAATGGGACAGACCTGACACCATCCCCCATCACACCACTGACCGGCCACAGTCCACCATCTCATCCCCCACCTCCTTCCCCTCTCTTACCATCCTGGAGAGGGACATCAGACTGTTCAGGAGGCAGAAACCACGCAAAGCAGCTGTGCTGGACTCCCCATCCACCCTGAAGCACTGTGCAGATGCAGTGTTCACAGACATTTTTCTAAACACATACAATCCTGTTTGTGGACTTCAGCTCTGGTTTCAACACCATCAGCCCGGCCCTGCTGTAGGACAAGCTATCTCAACTGAACGTGTCTGACTCCACCTGCAGACGTCGTCTCTGACTCCAGGACCATCAGCACCGGTTCCCCTCAAGGCTGCGTTCTTCCCCCTTCTCTTCTCCTTGTACACCAATAGCTGCACCTCCAGTCACCAGTCTGTCAAGCTCCTGAAGTTTGCGGACGACACCACCCTCATTGGGCTCATCTCAGGTGGGGGACGAGTCCGCCTACAGGTGGGAGATTGACCATCTGTTGACCTGGTGCAGACAGAACAGTCTGGAGCTTAACGCTCTGAAGAAAGTGGAGATGGTCGTGGACTTCAGAAAGAGCACAGCCCCACCCTCCCCCATCATCCTGTGTGACTCCTCAGTCACCACTGTGGACTCGCTTCCTGGGAATCATCATCTCCCAGGACCTCAAGTGGGAGCTGAACATCACCTCCATCATCAAGAAGGCCCAGCAGAGGATGTACTTCCTGTGGCAGCCTGCCAAAGACAATGATGGTGCACTTCTACACCGCCATCATTGAGTCCATCCTCATCTCCTCCATCACCATCTGGTACGTTCACATCATTCACTCTGCAGAGAAGGTGATTGGCTGCAATCTTCCTTCTCTCCTGGACCTGTACGCCTCCAGGACTCTGAGGCGAGCAGGAAAGATTTCAGCTGACTCCTCCCACCCTGGTTACAAACTGTTTGAGACTCTCCCCTCTGGCAGGAGGCTGCGGTCCATCAGGACCAAAACCTCTCACCACAAAAACAGCTTCTACCCGTCTGCAGCTAGCCTCATCAACAAGGCCCGGGCCCCCAACTGACACACCCCCTTTCAAATAATACAATTGTCTCTGCACATGTAAATATCACTTCATGTCATATCATGCACGAACCTGGCACATTCCACATATTTGTTGTTAATTTGTTGATTAACTGCCCCTAGGTGTGCCAAAAACGAGCTCAAGCTCAGAGGGGACCATGCCTTTGCTGTGGCAGCTCCTAAACTGTGGAATGACTTCTCTCTACACATTAGACAGGCTTCTTCACGGTCTAGTTTTTAAATCTCATCTTAATACCACTCTTTTCCTTGGCCTTTGGCACCTGAAGTTGACATGCTGATTGTACTGATTTTATTGTATGGTTGTTTGGCTTTATTTGTATTTCATACCTCGTGTGAGCAATGTATTTCATGTCTGTTTTTTATTTTCTGTACAGCACTTTGTGCCAGCTTTTGTTTTTTTAAGTGCTCTATAAATAAAATTTGATTGAATCATTGATTGAACACAATGAGTGCTCACACCAAATATTGACTTGATTTAGATATTTCTTACGTTCACTGACTTTGCATTTCTTAATTGATAAGTATACCCTATTAACATGTCTATTTAGCATTTTTTCCACCCTTACCCCTTTGCACAGTAGAACATTGTTTCTAATTGCGTATATATGTAACTATATTAAATGTCAATTCCTAGTCGGGATGTAATCACTGGGCAGCTCACAGTGCAGTATAGAGGTGTACCTTGAGCAGGATCCTCATGGTGCTACAGGAGTGGGCAGGGTGGAGCTCCAGCAGCGTCTCCTCAGGACATCTGGAACTGGTGGAGAGGGAGCAGCAGTAACACACATCTCCAGCATCACTCTGAAACAACACACACACAAGCATAAGAAAAGATGCAGATATTAATTTTAGGCAGGTTTTTATCAAAGCATATTCCTAATTTCTCTGTTGTGAGTATATTTGACGATATTTTGGTTAAGAAGTCTCACTTTTGTCTGATCTGCTTCCATTTGATGTTAATGCTGTCTGCTGCAAACTCATCAGTTCCTGTAGTACATTTCCACATTATGCTCTCTGTTGCTCTCACTTTTGCGTTTTAACACAAATACTGCACACCACTTTAATCAACACAAATGCTAACTTAGAGTATGGCCCATAGACTGTAAAAAAAGTGGGTGTAGCTACCATGACATCAATGGCTGGTTTGTGGACTCCTGTTCTGAAGCCTCCATTTTGCTATTTTGGCCGCCGCCATCTTGGTTTTTTGAACTAGAACTGACTATATTTGGACAAGACGGGGGAGCTGGGGAGGGATACGCATTACTACACCAGACAGTTTACTGTGTTAGCTTATTTTGTTGTTTATTTTTATGTTTTGTATCAGTTATTTTATCTGCCTTGTCTGTGTGTTGGGTTGTAGTTCTTGTTTGTTTCTTGTCTTGCCTGCGTCTTGTGTTCAGTCTGCCCGATTACCCTGATCTGTCACCTGCTGTGCTCCTGACCTGCTTGTTTGCCCTGTATAATTAGTTGTCTGTTTCTGGTCATTGTAGAGTGTGGAGTGTCTTGCTTGTCTCTGTGCTGCCTGATCTGTTGTTCAGACTGTGACAACATCAACTGTCTGTATGCCTGATTTACTTTGTGAGTTTGGGATTAAAACCCTTGCTACTGATATCAGCTCTCCTGTGTCGTGCATTTGGTCTCATATCTGCTAGTCACTCACCGAATCTTTTTGTTAGAGGTGCTGGGACTGAGAGCTATGTGGACAAGAACCAGCTATATCAGTCATAAGGAAGCTATCGTGTCGCTAACCAGGACGAAACTGTACGCGAGGCCGGGAGTAGGAGAATCATTCCCGGCGTGGATATTCGACTTCCTCCACACCTAAGCCATCTCCCAGCCAGCTGTGTTTCGGATTCTCTCTCTGTTAGCCCAGGGTGGGATAATGCGATGCCTGCTAGCATCAAGCCATCTGTTCCCCAGCCTGGCAATCTGCCAGTTTGCATCCAGCCTATATTCCCAAAAACAGTTTTACACAGTGCAATGGAGGTGTCCCCTGACCTGTCCATTCTCTTTGTCCTGTTTGCTGCCCCGCCAACTCCTGAACCACAGCCCTACTCTGACTTTGTGTTGCTGCAACAATACCCTGTCTCTGCTGCGAAAAATTGACTTTTTGAAACCCCTGTATCTGCCTATTTGCAGCCAGGACCAGTAGAACTGTTAAAGATTGTGTCAGTGCCTGAACAGCAGCAACCCTGTGATGATGAGTTTCTGCAAGTTTTTCCCCCGTCTTACCTGTTAAGCTGCAACCTGGCCCTAAACCCGATGCAGATGGCCGCCCACCCTGAGCCATGGTTCTGCTCGAGTTTTCTGCCTCTTAAAAGGAAGTTTTTCCTTGCCTCTGTCTCCTAGTGCTGCTCTTGGTGGGAACTGTTGGGCTTCTGTAAATAGCATCACAGAGTACGGTCTAGACCTGCTCTTTTATGAAAAGCGCTGTGAGATAACTGTTGTTGTGATTTGGCGTTATATAAATAAAATTGAATTGAATTAAATCTGCTGAACTGCTGCTTTCCCTGTTGTGCAGCAGCAGCCCTCGGACTGTGCTATGCTGCAGCAAATACCTGACACCCCTGAATCTCATGAACTGTTTCAGCTTTTTTTATGGTCAGAATGTGACAAACACTTGATTGATCACTTCACAAATCTGAGGTTGAACATTCAAAACTATGACAACAAATATGATTAGTAAATCTTTTTTCAGTTCCTTTTCCTCAACAAAAATATATATTTTAATAGAAAAATTATGTGCTAATTTGTTTGTGATTCAAATGAATTCAATCTAGGGCTGCAGCTAACAATGATTTTAGTATTCAAAGCTTCTATAGATTTCAACGATTCATCAATGCAACGCTTAGTTTTTTTCGATTTCTAAACGATAGTGAGCACAACTGGAGCTACATGTGCAAAACTCTAACTACAGTCTGCACTACCAACAGTCACCTGAGCTAAACAGTTCACATCACCTGCAAAACTCATTCCAAGCAACACAAATCTTAACACATGGCTCAAAACAGGCTCAGTGCAGCCAAACACTATGCACAACCCTCACTGAGATAACACACACACACACACACACACACACACACACACACACACACACTCAGAACACACAGAGTAAAAACACTAGCATCAAACACCAATACAGAAAATACAAACTTTTCATCTTTACAGTTTGAACAATTTCAGTGACTTCATACAAAGTAATATTTTCTTCAAAGAAAAGAGTGACATTCTTTCACATGATTTATTTTAATTTTTAGAACATAACAATTCCTTAATGTAAATGAAAATTAGCAGTTTGCTTCAACAGTCTGTAGTAAATTACGGAATTACAGTAATGAGAAAAAAAAGGTAGAAACTCAAAGTACATACTGTCATGGGTTGGGGCGCTGAGTGCAGACTGGGGCGAGGACCCAAATGCAGACAATGGCAAGGCGAGGAGGTTGCAGACCAAAAATGTTTATTAACTCAAAAAACTAACTTAAACAGGCTTACAAGGAGCTCGAGGCAAAGTCCAACAAAGGTAGTCCAGAACACAGGGAATAATCCAGAACTAGGAAGACAAGGAACAGGCAGGAACACTCAACTTTAGACGCAAGGACGTGACAAAGACTGGAGAGACAAGCAGGCATACATATACACAGGGACTAACGAGCGGGGCGGGAGCAACACAGGTGAGCGGGATCAGGGCTAACGAGGCAGAGAGACAAGCAGGGAGAAACAGAGAGAACACTAGACAAGCAGACATGGGGGAGAGGGAATAACCACGAAGACAGAAACACACAAGTTACAAAGAACCAGAACCTAAATGAGAACACAAAACTAGAACCCAGAGTACAGAGGAGACCAAATCACAAAAATACAAACAAGGACCAGGAATCATTACCAAAACATGAACTAAGGACATGGAACTAAACTCAGACTCCCAAACAAGACACACAGACGGAATCATAACACATACTGTAATTTCAACTAATAATTGAGGGCTAATCCTGCCTCTCTCTAGCATCAGGCCACAGGTTTTCATCAACATCACATCTAATGTTCTCTCTTGCCATGCACCTGGGGAAGAACCTTCTGTGCCTTATCCATCCCTGGCAGTCCTCTGGATCCGGCACGCATGGCTTCCAAAAGAGACATTTGGTCATGTGGGTGGTGATCAAACACTTTCCACCTCCAGGCAGACCTCTATTGGGTTGAGGAAGGGTGAATATGCAGGCAGGTACAAAACCATAAATCTGCGATGTGCTGCAAACCAATCTGTGACAGCTGCAGAGTGGTGAAAAGCAACGTTATCGCAAACTATGACAAAAACTTGGGGGTTTCTTACTGGCTCCCCCTGTTCTGCTGGCACTAGCTGAGCATAGAGCTGTTCTAGGAAAGCTATAAGCCTTTCTGTGTTGTATGAGCCAATGAGTGGTGTGTTGAGAAGCAAACCATCATTGGCCATTGCAGCACACATGGTGATACCCCCCCCCTTTGGCCTGGAACCTCCACAGTGGCCCTTCCACCTAGAACATTCCTTCCTCTGCGCCCTGTTTTGGCAAGGTTAAATCCAGCTTCATTGATAAATACAAATGAATGTGGTGTTTCCAGTGCTTCCACCTCTATTACTCTCTGAAAAACAGTAAGTGCACAGTTTTACTGTAGTAATGCTAGTGTTTTTTTTACTGTAAATATTTTTTATAGCTGTGTATGTAACCTCAGACGTCTTACCTGGACATATTGGTATCTTTGCTCTTTTACCCGTTCACTGTTTCTCAAGAACGGTACAGTGTTTAACTGTTTCATTGTAACTTGTTTCTGTAGGACTCGAGCAATAGTTGCTGTGCTGACAGAATTTACATTTTCAAATATATCATTATCAGCCAGCACTCTACTTTGAATCTCCCACAGTTTTATTGCATTGTTGACAACAACCATGTCAACAATAGCATTTTCCTGCTCATCTGAAAATATTTTTCCTCTTCCTCCTGTTGGGGGCAGCCTTTGGGTCCTGTTGTAAAAATATATTTTACAGTCAAACTTACTGTAATATATATCTGTGTAAATATTCTATAATTGCTATACAAAATAAATTCCTGTAATGTTTTCATTTATTGTAAGGATGTCACTCTCACCTGTTTGTATGAAGGAAAATTCGCATTACAGATGCCACTGTGGATCTTTGCAGATTGGGTTGCACCCTCAACCCCGCCTCTTTCAATGAGAGACCATGGTTCATGACATGGTCTATAAGTGTAGCCCTTATTTCATCTGAAATAACAGCTCTTTGTCTTCTTTGTCTCCCTCCATGAACCCGTCTTCCTTGTTCCATTTCCAAAGTTAGTCTTTCTGAGCTCTACCTATATATATATATATATATATATATATATATATATATGTGTGTGTGTGTGTGTGTGTGTGTGTATATATATATGTATATATTTGTGGTTCACAGTTTTGACAGCAGTGTGTTAGCATTTGAACAAAGTGCTGTAAATCCACAGTGTTGTGCAGGTTGTGGTTGAGGTCATGGGATAAGGGTGTAGAGTTTTGAAGCAATGAAAAACTAACTAGGGTTTGGTCCACATGAACTGCTGCTGTCCAGACTGTAGTTAGAGTTTTGCACATGTAGCTCGAGTTGTGCTCACTGTCGTTTAGCAATCGAAAAAAACTGTAAGAAGTACTTTAGCTTGGCGTCGCCCCACCCTCCCCACGGTAACGGGATCAGCTGTGCACGTTTATAGGTGATATTTATTTATTGGTCCTTTCAGAAATTGTGTCATACAGCAAACATCAGACCAACAACCAGACAGCTGCTTTACAATCACAAACATCATCCGAGTGCTATACAAGTTATACTACAGGCTCGGGCAGACTACATTCAGCGTTGGCCAATGGCCATGCCGTTCACACAACTTGCCCTCTTGTGACGGGAGTCTTGAAGTGTTTGTGGCAGGGGGTCACACACTACACGAGCTGACAGCGGCTGAGTCACCCAACGCTGGTCTCTAAACCACGTTTTGTCAAGAAATCACACGTAAAATGTGAAACGGGAAATGAGCGTTCCTGCACAGGAAACAGCTGTTTGTTATTGTAAAGACAAAGAATCTGGGTGAAAGGATGGATTAGCACACTCAGGTATCAGGGATTGTCTGAGCTGCAGAGAGAACTGCAGGTGAGTTAAAAAGGTGCAGCTCCCGACACCCAGTTATCTCCTGACTGTGAGGTTACGGCCCAAAAGGAGAACAACAAACACACGGTTGCACATTTTCAGCTGAGGACTGCGGCTTACTTTGGCTTCAACTCAACAATCAATCGTGATTTCAGTGAAATGCTAAAGTTGCTGCTACTGTTACCTTGTCTGTGGTGTGGCAGAACACCGGCTGCTTTTTGTTCAGGGGCTGTCGGGCTGTTGCCGTGGCGACATAAATTTCATTTTACAGTGGAGCCCAGGTAAGACGCTTCTGAGGTCGTTTGTTTGACAAGAGGTATACGACATTTGAAGTCCATGTCCAGGACCCGTCTGTGTGTGCTGGCTCTTGATGCAGTAACTCCAGCCTCAGTCCACTCCTTGTGAAGCTCCCCTGCACATTTGAATGGCCTTTTCCTGACAATCCTCTCCAGGCTACGGTCATCCCTGCTGCTTGTGCACCTTTTTCTTCCACACTTTTCTCTTCCACTTAACTTTCTATTAATGTGCCTTGATACAGCACTTTGAGAACATCCAACTTCTTTTGCAATTACTTTTTGAGGCTTTCCCTCCTTATATCTATATAATATATTAGTTTCACCTTTTAAATTGAATTATTGAAATAAATGAACTTTTGCACAATATGCAAATTTTTCGAGTTTCACCTGAATAGTTATATGGATTAAACGAAGCATCGATGCAAATTCTTTGCATTGATTTAATCGATGAATCGTTTCAGCCCTAATTTAATCACATATTTATTGACGATATCTTGAACATTTGTTCTATTGTTATTGAGGAAAATTACATTGCAAAAAGTATCATTATTGTTTTATTGCCCATTCTTACTTGAACCCCATGAACTGCTGCCACATTCCCCTGACTCTGCACTGTTTCAGAAATCCCCAGACTCTGTTCAGCTGATGCAAACCCCCACTGAGCTACGGCTCCACAGACTCTTTTGTGCCTCTACAGAAAAACTGACCCTATTCCATGTCTTTCTTCATCTGGTAAACACTTTTGACAGATCCCATAATAGTCCAGAACTTCTGCACAGAATTTCCCTTGAATAACAGGTGAGCCCTGTCTCACTTTTGTATGTGTGAGTGAAATGGTGATGAAGAATGAAGATGAAAATATGATGAAATAAAATAAGACACAAAATATACACAAGGCCAGACAGAGCAGCAAGTGCAGCAGGAGGAGGTGTTTGATAGTTTCAGCCCTGTCAATCAGGACAAACAGGGTTGAGCAAGTTATATGATTGGCTGTTGCTTCAGCCTGAATGAGAAGAGAGCCAATCACATATTCTGGCTCTGAAGCTGAATTAAAACAACTGCGGGAATGAAATAAAAATTGCCTGCAATCAACTGTTGGTGTGAAGGAGAGCAGCAGGAAGTAATCCTTCATAATAATGAGCTGTTTATGTCATAATGGTATGATTATTTATTTATTCTTTTATTCATTAATTTTGAACACACACACACACACACACACAGAGTGATGACAAGCCATGTGTAACTTTATAGAATGATTGATATTACAACTGACCAAGGTCATTTCAACACATTCTAAAATACACACACACACACACACACACACACAAAACCAATTTCACCTAATGCACAGAGCTAATTGTGTCCAACATCATTAGATTCAGCCCTTGACAGTATATGAGTTTGGATTTTGGATTATTTTATTGAGTTGTTAAAATCTAAAAACAACAACACAACAAAATAAAAGCCAAGGAGACTCGATAGGGACATTTTTTCCCACCCAAAGTGATTAAATGAGAATTTGAGATTTTGTTGGTAACTTACTATGCAGCCTTCAGTTTACTTGCCATGTTATATCCTCCCCCAAGAAACCTGCTTCACCAAGCAATTGATCAAATTAGTAAGCGTGATGCACTCAAAATGTAATTTATTATCAACTTTCCATAGGAGGAACAGAGGGAAGCTGGGACTGTGAACAAGAAAGCATTCAGGAAATCTACAAATGATGAGCGCAAAACCAGACAGACACACACAGCCTCACCAGTTGGCAGCTGGTCATACTGGAAACCAGCTGGGCTCCCTGGCAGCACAGGATGAATCCAGCCAGATTAAGGAGTACACACACCACAGACAGCAGGACAAACACATTGACCTGGAAATGGAGGAAAGGGGGGGGGGGGGGAGAAGGTAACATGGGTCATTGTTTAACCCAGTGGATATATTATATGTTTGATGCAGAAAAGACTTAATAAACATAATGTAATCAAACTGGCAGACACAGTGACTAAACAGGTACTGGAAGTTGAAATGTAGCACAGGCCATATACAGACACACACAGAGATGAGATCATGAGAATAGAAGTCCATCTGAAATGATAAAAGTCTTCCCTTTTTTGAAGTTTTTCTAATTTAATTACTAATATATCTTTGAGTTTTGAGAGGAGAAAAGAACGTCTTGAAGCCTCTGAGTGGGCCAGCAGGGGCATGGATACACAATGTAAAACGGTTGCTTACAAGCAGAGTAATGACAAGCCAGCATCTAAACTTTAATGTGCTACAGCTGACAAAATCATTAGATTTGCCAACTCATAGTATAAACAAACACTTTCTTTCAAAATGTATCTACTTTGATCTACTTTCTGCTTTAAACGATGAAACAACACAGGAAACTGTTGCAAATATAGGACTCCATCCAACACCGTCCTTACTCCTATCTAAAATGCAGCAATAAAGTATTAGCATCTGATCCCTCTCTCCCTCTGTCTCACACAGACAACCAAAAGATATATTAAATAAGGCTTTAAACAAGTCTTTTTATAAAACATCAATCAAACAGACGCAGTTTCAAAGTTTCTTACAATATTTTAAAATTATTTGCTGCATTTGCCCCCTGACACAACATGTCCAGATCATCACATCAGTGGGACCAGAATATAAATGGCTTTACTATGTGTACCCTCTCAAATACTTTAACTATGTGTGTCCTCTTAAAGACCGTTTAGACAATTTGTTTCAGATGTAAGATAGTGTTGACCCTCACACAGGGTTAAAGATGCATGTGCAGAGACACAACAGATGGTTTTATATTGTTTATTTCCCCTACAAATTATGTACAAACCTTATCACACTAAAATACGGTGTGATTGCATTTTTGTACTTGTTGAATATAAGGAATAGCAGTGTCTGATCCTTCTCGCTCTCTGTCACACACAGACAGCATGTTATGTACAAACCAAATCACATTAAAATATCATGGTTTGATTGCCTTTGCTTCTCTCAAAAAAGCATAATTTAACTTTAATGTTATCAATATTTAATTTCTCTGTGATACAAATATTACAAAAATAATCACAGCCACTTTAATTAAAAATAGAGAAAGTTTAAACTGTAATTCAGAAGTAACTTTGCTACATGCGTTAAAATCAAGGACTGCATTAGTAACAAAATGTACTTTATACAGGTTTCAATTATATAAAAATATCTTATTACACAAGTGCACTCATTTGAATTTTCTATTAGGGGAATTCAGATTCTTCTGTGTGGAATGGTGAAGAATGCAATTTAAAGAAGGCTCCCTTCATTCCCATCTTATTTTGTATTTGCTCTTATTAACGTAATCTTACACAGATTTTGAATCACACAACAAATACACTCTATTGTGGCTATTTGGACATCTTTTTCCCAACTAATTTATGAATTGTGGGAGTTTTTGTGGAACAACGTGGCATGCCACGGGCACGATGTTGAAACGCCATGCCACGGGCACTGCGTTCAACATCGATGATTCGCCACGAAACAGTAAGTTGTTGTAACTTCAGTGTACATGCTCACATCTGCCCCAAACTTTACATGTCTGATAAGAGTCCCACCCTCAACACATTTACAAGCCAATATTCACTCATAGTCATAACTCCACCTACTGGCATATCCATACTGTGGCGGCGAAGTTCTGTGCTTCGCCGTGAAACTGGAAGTCATCACAACTTCATCGTACATGCTCAAATGTGGACCAAATTTTACATTCTTATCTCACCTACTGGCAACAGGATGTACATACTGTGTGACAATGTGATTTAAATGAAATTTTCACAACTTGCTCCACACTTGACATACTGTACATAATGTATAGTTACTGGGTGCTCTATAGCGCCACATAGGGGACACAGGAAGGCCTTTGCACAGCCTCCAAAGTGCATGACATGTCAGAACTGCGGTGGCAGAGCAGCACTCCCCAACGGGCTAAATGTGCGAGGGCCCGCCCAAAACTGCTTACAGCTTTAATTTTCATTATATTTGTTGTGTCATAAATCGACAACTTCAAGGTAATGTAAAGTAGGGATGAACAGATCCAACTCTCTTACGGTACCGTCTCATCTGATATCCCAGTTCACAGTACTGGTGCTGTATTTTCTATTTATTTATTCATAGAGTTTAAGTTTACAGAGACAGCGCACATTGATAAACATTTCTGTAAATGTGCCAGTTCAGCCAGCTTGGCTAATGTTCAACTGTAGTCCCTGGGCAGGTTTTAACTACATAAAATACACTAAAACAGGAACAACAGTACTCATACATATAACAAGATACCTTTCACAAGGACACATAAAATACTTTAAAACAAGGACAATTAAAAAAAAGAAGATGAGAGACCAAGTAGTGATCAAATGCCAATGCTCTGTCTTTCCCATTTTTGAATTGTGTAAAATTTCAATGTCTAATAGCACAAAACTCATCAGGATCATTCTTCTATCTGTAATGGTGCTTTCAGACCAAAAGCAAAGTGAGCACTGGGGGAGGTGCGTTTACATACAAAGTCACTGCAATGACACAGATAGCTGCAATTTGCTGTCAGGTGGTGTGGAGGGGGTGCTGCCGGAAAATTTTCTACTCGAGTGAGAAAGTCGCATGTTGCTGAGTCGCAATAGCCTATCAGTGTTGAGATTGTCCGAACGTCACCAGCGGCTTCAGAGCGTTGTGTGGAGAGGACCAGTCAGAGCAGTGTGTAAATCATCCAAAAATGACCATGAAATTCAAGATGGGCGACTTCCTGTTGGGTTTAGGGTATCACTCCAAGATACATGTGCCACAGAAATTTCTTATATATAGGTGATACCTGTTACCAGCAGGTGGCGCTATGACTATGGGTGAATGTTGGCATGTACATGTGTTGAGGGTGGGACTCTTATTAAACGTCTAAAATTTGGTGCAGATGTGAGCATGTAGACTGAACAACTTACAACAACTTCCTGTTTTATGGCGAATCGTTGATTTTGGACACCATGCCGTGGGCACACCGTTCCACAAAAATTCATCGTTTGTACAACTTTTAATCGTCAGTGGGATTAGACTAGACAGCGTAAATCTGAAGTTGATTGGACAAATTCTCTAGGAAGAGTTTGCCAACTTACGGAGCCTGTAAATCACCAGAAACGATTATCAAATCCAAAATGGCCAACTTCCTGTTGAGTTTAGAGCATTGCTCCAAGAGGCTTTTTGGTACGTCTTGACATGTGCCACACATCTTATACATGAAGGTGAAACGTGTCATGGGGGCTGCTTTGTTGAAGGTCATTTCCTGAGGCCAGCAGATGGCGCTATGATTGTGGGTGAATGTCGGCATGTACATGTATTCAGGGTGCGACTCTTACTAAACGTGTAAAATTTGGTAGAGATCTGAGCATGTACACTCAAGTGACAACAACTTCCTGTTCCTTGCTCGGGCCCTAATCAACTGTCATGTTGTGTCAAAAACCAGTGGTTATTCAACTTGACTAAGAACTTGCTTTTTTTGTAACTAAACCAGCATTTTCAATATTTCACACTTCCAGTACTGTAATTTTAACTGAACAAGTAGCTAACAAGCAAGGGAAGGAGTTGGCCTTCGGGATTTTATGTCCTTTATAATATTCTCAGAGGTAACATGGGTTGCACACTTCTTAGCAAAAGACGGATGGTTCTCAGTTGCAATCAAACGTCAGATCTTGAAGTTTATAGCTGTGCGCTATAATGTTTTTACTTAGTGGGGGGCGGTGAGGCAAGTTTAGAATAAGGAATGTGAAAGGGTTAAAAAGAGTCAAACTACTGGTGAACTTTATTCTATATTTTATAGAAAGACTAAATTTAGAGTTATTAGGACACTATTAATACTTGCAGGTTTGTGTTTTAATACATAAGGATGGACCTTATTTCTAAGTGTAACTACAGATTACATTATATGTAGTTTAGAAATATCCATTTATGTTTTATTCAGCCATGGAAACTCCGTGTCATTATGTACATTTCATATCAACAAATAAAATGCATTCCTATAAAAAAAACTAAATAGATTGAAGAAAGAACTACGTTGCAAAATTGATTGAAATCCTGTGTTGTGGTCGTAATATTTTGGGACTGAACCATTTCAAAGGTTTAGTAAAAGTTTCTTTTTTTTTTTTTTTTTTTTTTTTTTAATTAAACCTGTCCTGCCCAGCAGCCTGGTATAGAGTATAATGACCTGGATACCATATTGTGCCAGACAGATTTTACTTTAACAAGAGAGTATTAAAATACTCCTTTGTCTGTTTTATTATTTATTTAATTATGTATTGATTTGTCACCGGGCCGGACAGGGGGGCAGACACGGGGATGGGGGGGCACAAACAGACAGCACAGAGAAAGGACAACACCTGCAAGAGAAGGGGGAAAGGGGGATGGAGGGTGGGGACAACAGGGAAAAGCTGTGGGAAACACCAATTGCAGAAAGCAACGAAACCTGCAAGAGAACAGAGAGGGGGGCTTGAGGAGGAGAAAAACAACAACAAACAAACACAAACAAAAAAAAACAATAAAAATAATAATAATAGTAAAAGAAAACCAGCCGAACAGCAGCAATAAACAGCTGACATATTAATGACATATTAAGACAACTAAGAGAACAATGAAAACAAGAAACAGTCACACACACTAAATAAGCAACACAACACAGCCACGAGAGCTGGAATAATAATTAATTTAAATAAGTAACTGAAAGAAAGGCATCAGGAATAATTCTACCAGGGACAACCTAAGTTTGTTTGTGTCTGTGTGTGTCTGTGTGCGTGTGGGTGAATGTGTCTGTATGTGTGTGTATGTACATGTGTGTGCGCATAAGCCTGTTAAAGAATGTAGTTGTTA